CCCATTCACACTCACATTCACACACTGATTAGGAGGTGACCTCCCCAAAAACTGCAGAAAAGACTGTTGTATTAAAATAATGTTTAATTTATAAATTTAGGATGCACTAGTCCAGCTGTTTCAGTTTATATACATATATCAAGGCTGCACAAAGCTTTTCCCCAAAATGAAAATCTATCTGAGGGCTGCGGCCAAATGTAAGAATATAATTCATGAAATACAAATACTTCCTCTATTTTTGAATACAGTATCAGAGTTTTATATATTTATACTTCTCATCCAACCACAGTTAAATTCACTCTATCTAGGAGGCTCAGTTTATATGGATAGTTTTTATTTTTTACAATAACAAGCTGCAATGAAAACAAGCAAAAATGAAATAAAAGTAACAACTTTCTACTTCTTGTCTTTTTAAAAAAATGTAACGAGTAAAAGTAAAAAGTAGGCTGAAAAATAATTAMTCAAAATACAGATACCCAAAACTTCTACTTAAGTACAGTAACAAAGTATTTGTACTTAGTTACTTTACAGCTCTGCCTCTGGTAGTGGCAGTTCTTCTCCAGGTAATTCTATGAAGGTTTCTCTCATAAATGAACCTTCTGCTCTGTTGGATGCAGCAGCTTCCTGCTCTTCTCCACATCAGCATCATTACCGACCGTTTGCTACTCTTTGTCTCGCTGCGATGCTTCACTACAACCCAAACCAACCCCACCGTGTCACTGACTGAAATCACCTCCCCAGGTTTTGTAAACCGGACAGGAAACACGGGAGGATCATGGGAGGAGTGGTTGTTGAGCCTCGTTTAAATTGTCCCACATGTGAAGGAGAACAGCTCCAGTCACGCTGCTGCGTAATCTTTTACTTCTAGACACTGCCAAGGACGTAGTGATAAAAAGTGTTTTTAAGAGTGTAAATGATTTTAAAATAATGATTCCTAATCAGGAACACGTTTAGAAGCAAGACGTTTGATTAAGGAATTAATCAGTGTTGTATAAAGTACCTCAAAGTGATACTTGAGTAAAAGTACAAGTACCTTTATCATAAAAATACTTTGGTAAAAGTTAAAGTCTTCTCTAAAAATATTTCTTGAGTAAAAGTCTTAAAGTATCTGATATTATTTGAACTTAAGTATCAAAAGTAAATTTCTGACACAAAATCTACTTCAGTATTAAAAGTAAAAGTACTGAGTAAAAGTGAGCAGTTAGATTTTCTAACATTTATTGGGAGGTGACTTCTCCAAAAACTATATTTTCTAACAGCGTGCAGCTGTGATGGGTTGTGTACAAGCTAATAGTGTGTCAGAATGGTATATATTTATACTTCTCATCCAAACACAATTAAATTCACTCTATAGGAGACACAGTTTATCAGGAGAGGATTTTTTTAAAGTAATAACAACTCAGAATAAATAGGAGTAACGATTTTCTACTTCTTACATTTTTTAAAAATATAGTGAGTAGAAAGTACAGATAATTGTGTAAAAATGTAATGAGTAAAAGTAAAAAGTAGGCTGAAAAATAATTACTCAAGTAAAGTACAGATACCCAAAAATTCTACTTAAGTACAGTAACAAAGTATTTGTACTTAGTTACATTACAACTCTGGAATTAATACAATATTTGATCTTTGCATGTCCAATTAAATCTGGTTTTCCTACATGTTGTTCAGGTCAGGGTTGTTATAATTCACTAAAACTAAACAAAATAACGAAAACTGAATTTCAAAAATCATTTTAGTTAACTAAAATAAATAAAAACTGTAATAAAATGAAAAAAACGATAAATAACTCAAACGAACTGAAAGTATAGATGGAATATCCTTAGTTTTAGTGTTTGTCTTTTTTATTTTATCCACATTAGCTGTGGTCTGTAACGACACTTGTTTACAGTCTGCCGCTCAGCATCACCTGCTCAATGACGACAACAAAATCAAAAAGGAAAAATCAGTAGGTCCTCTGGATGGTTCTTCTTTAGTGAAACGTTTTGTCTCTCCTCCAAGAGACTTCTTCAGTCTGATGAGTTTCAAGTGAACTCATTTATCCACATCAACTCTGTGGATAAATATATAAAGTTCACACGAGAAGATGTGAAAGATGGCAGGTTGGCGTTCCTGGACTGTGATGTCTCAGTTTCGGATGGAGGACGATTGGAAACTGACGTGTAACACAAATCCACCCATACAGACCAGTATTTGCGTTTTGACTCCCACCACCCACTGGAACACAAGTTAGGAGTGATCAGGACTCTGTACCACAGAGC